ACCAGGGGAAAAATGAATTCTGTCAAGAGCTTAGCCACGAGGTGGAGTTTGAAACATTGGTAGTACACGTTTATGTAATTGAATATGCTTTTACTGGTAGCCAGCGGAATGGGTTGAAAGTCACTACAGCAGAAGTGATAGTTAAAGATAAAAAAATCAGAAGGCAAAGTTGAACACAAGCTGCAGCTCCTAAGAGGAGCTCATAACACCATGTATCAGTCCCAAGGAGGTTTTTAAGCCTCCAGCATGGCCTGCAGCATATACTCTATATTTTGCATAAACACAATGTGTGTTGCATTTACATTTTCTAGGCTTCATCTGTAAATTAATTTGGAAGGTGGGGAAAACTTAGTATTAACTTAATAAAGTGTTTGTTTTTCTATGTAAATTTTGCAGTAATGTAATTTTTGAAATGCAGGCTATTATCGTACCTTTAATGCACTTCTATTACATTTTATGAGTCTTGGCCTAAAGAAAGAAGTGAGTGGTATGTTTCATTGCTAAAAGAAAACTAAAAAAAGATAAACTGAAAAAAGAGAAACTAAAAAAAAATAGAATGGTCTAGTTTTTTCTAGACAAACTGAGCAAAAACTGTAGATCTCTTTTACATGGTAGAACAATATTAATTGGCCTAGGGAACTGAATAATAGGAAGAGAAAACTTACTAATCTAAAAATGCCTGTTGTTTTGTTCCTAGGTTCAGACATTGTTCAATGGTTAACGAAGAATTTATCTATAGAAGACCCAGGTAATTTCTCTTTTTTTCATGTCTGAAAATGCTAGTTTGTCTTTTTAAATTATTGGACCTAACTTTGTCTTCTGTTGCAGTGGGGGTGGCCAGGCAGCATTTGTCCAGTATAATTTCAATAGCGAAACAGACAGCATCAAACCTTAGAAACCTTTGCTAAGAATCTGAGGATTTTGGTTCTCCATTTTCTCCATTTTATGGAGCATGTACCAGGAAACAAGATGATGGCCAAGAATGAAAATGATAGCTGCTTTAATTAGTAGAAAATGAGTTTAAGTTCTACTCCATGAGGAATTTTTGGTGTCATGCTAAATAGTTCGTTAAACACGTGCTGTTTTCTTAACAGAATTTTTCAATATATAAAAATTAAATAGAATTAATAAAGTACGCTCTTGTACTGTTACTGAGAGCTGCATTTCTATTCTTAAGTTTGGACACTTTTATAGCATCTTAAATGGAAAGTGAACTGTAAATAAAATCAGTGTGGTGAGGAAGAACAGTTCATTGCTCCATCAGCTGGGTTGGAACGTAGAAGTAAAGTTTTGGTTCCAAGCTCTGCCACAGGTTTCTTGTGCGGCCAGCAGCAAATGCAGTTTGGTGTGTATCTGATATTTATTTCCCTGATTTACAGGAATCTTGCTACATGATCTGAAATTTTCCAGAAAGCAATGATTTCTAGTAGAAAATGTTGAATGGCAGAAATAAAATATTCTGTGGAACTTCGTATTATCTTTTGGTTAGGGGAAAGATAATCTTCCTTCTTTAAAGCATGATCAAAAATACTTATTTTTCCTCTCTCTGTTTCAGACTTTTGGGAATGGATTTATTTTTTTTTAATTTAAAAAATGTGTTTTTCTGTCATATTAGAAATGAAAATATGATCATTGTGGAATTCCAGCAAAAAGTAAAATCACTGTATTTAAAATTGTGACTTGAATAATGAGGAACTATTATAAATACCTAATTCGATATTTGGAAGCAGCCAGTTCACAACTTATCGATATGTTATGTGAAAGAGATCACTAATTGCTTCAAGTTTTATGTATCTTTACACAGAGTGTCATATGTTTGCTTCCTGAAGATAAAGTGGAGGTTGCAAGAAACCTATGTGTGATATTGTATTTCTCAGTTGTCAGCTACAAAACACTCACCTATCTATATTTATCAGAGTTTGAAAGATTGCCATTCTATGTTTATTTGATACGGAAGCTTAAATTTTATTTGTCAAACCAGAATTGCAATACTGGGATAGGCTGTCATTCAGATTATCTGGTTGTTGCGAAATTTGGAATAGAAGAAACCTTAAACTAAATGGAAAACATGGTTCCCTATGTTGATATCCAATTAAAATTAAACAAACACACAAACTACTAACATATGTAACCAGAACACCACAGTAATTTAATTTAAGATGGGTTTTATCCTCTCAGATTGCATGGGTGGAAAAAACTACCCACAATGACAAAAATGTCTTATGCATGTCAGTCCTAGTCCAAAGTCAACTGTCTGGAGCTGGCTGGATGCAAATCTTCAGAAAGCAGATCGCCCTAAATGCTGCCTTTGGGTAGTGCTCAGAATTGCCAGATAGCAGTGAACCTGACGATGGTGAGCAAGAGCTATTCACATGACAAAACTTCTGAAAAGACTCTGTTTTGTAAAATCTTTTAAGTGTGTGACTTTTTGTTCTAGTTCTTGACAAGACAGTCTAGAACTTCTTGTGGAAAAGCCCTAAATTTCTGTGAACTGTTGTCACCATAATTTGGGTTTCCAATATCTTCTGTCCACTTTTCACCAGTGTGTCAGGGTTTTACTATGTCTGTCTTTTAAAACTCCCCCATAGGGTCCTGTTATAAAGCTTTTGTGAAGCTATGCAATTTTGTGATGCAGAAATAAATAATGCCTGGGTTTGCACTGAAAGTTATCATCTCCGTCTAATTCTGATATCAGCAACATACCTGTGAGAGCAACATAAAGTAGACCTTGGTTCACAAATTTTAAGAGTATATTCTACTCTGTTCAGAAAAATTTAAGGACTATTTGCACACCTCATCTTCCAGTGCTGTGAACTACTCGTGCGAGCAAGGCATGCAAATTGTGATTTAAGGGGAAGGAGAGAGATTAACAGAATCATAGAACAGCCCAGGTTAGAAGGAACCTCGAAAGATCATCTGGTCCAACCTTTCATGGGAAAGGGAGCCTAGATGAGATTATCTAGCACCCTTTCCAGTTGCATCTTGAACACCTCAAGTGATGCGGACTCCACCACGTCCCTGTGGAGATTGTTCCAGTGATTGATTGTTGTCACTGTAAAAAATTTCTTTCTTGTATCAAGATGAAACCTCTCCCTGTGCAACTGCTGCCCGTTGCCCCTTGTCCTCTCCATGTGACTCCTTGTGAAGAGAGCCTCTGTCCTCTTTGTAGCTGCCCTTTAAGTACTGGAAAAATGATGAGGCCCCCCCGAGACTTCTGTTTTCCAGGGTGAAAACACCTAACTCCTTCAATGTACTTGTTCTTTAGTAAAATAAAGAACTAGTAAGAAGGAAGTGGCACTACTGTACATTAAAAAAAAAACCAACCAAAGTCACATTTTGTAGTGCAATTTTTTTCCTTTGTTTCACATAGGGAATACAACTCCAATACCATTTAAGTGGGAATGAAGAAGGCTGCTTTATGGCTAGTGGGAGAACAAAAGGCGGGAGAAGGTCTGGCAGCAACATCTGCTTCCACTGCATTAATAAGTGCAAAGCTATTATTGGGAAACAGCAATTTCTAGTAAAAAATAGTTGCAAGTATAAATTGCCAGTCAAAAAAAACCCTGCACATTTTTCATAAATGGAAAATCATTTTCTGTGGAAGATTTGAAAGATTTTGGCTTGCTGCAGTAAATCTCCATCAAGAAAATAAACTGGAGATGATGGGTGGATTCTGCTAAATTGTACCAGATTTGAAATTATTTCAGTGGAACAGAGTAGAACTTGTGCCCAGAATAGCTGTGCGCAATGTACAGTTGCTGTTACATTGTTTGCTTTTCAATATGTACTTAAAAAATGTTTGTGTTTCAGCCTACAACTCATCTGTAAAATTTTAAGGAACAGAAATTATCTAAGTTATTTTTAATGTGGAAGTTTAATTCAGTCATAAAAATAAGCCTGATCTCAACCCGAAAAGAAGCAATTAACTGAGTTTACAGAATTGTAAGGGCTTGTGGTTTGGCACTTAGACATGTGTTTGTTGAATTGACCATTACAGGGTAAGTGCTGACTCTTCACTGATGGTGCCAATTACTCTTAATGCGGAAAATCTACTCTGTTTTTCTACATTGTGTTTTTCTTTTTTTTAAGTGATAATTAGCGCCATGAAATGTACCAGACTGACCACACTAGAGACTGAAGTCCTTTTAATCCTTAGGGGAAAAAATAGAACAAAAAGGGTAGATGAGCTGATTTAAAGGTGTCAGCTGAAATTGCCAAGAGACTAATTCTGTACTTGGTTCTTGCATTGATTTCTTTGACGCCCTTTGGGCAGACACTTGATTTCTCTATTCCCTAGCATTCCGACATACTAAAGGTAAATCATGCTGTTGTCTCTTTAAGGAGAAAAAACAGTGTCAGTTTTCACGTATTTTCATAATGAAATGTGTGTCATTCACAAACACGCATTTCATCCTTAAGTCAGCCCATGAAGAATTTCTATCTAGGTGGCCCAGAAAGAGCCTTTAAGAGTTGATAATATGGATAGCCATCATCCCCTTGTTCCTTCACAGTACCTTTACTCCTGAGTGTTGCTTATTTAATTTACTCATATCTGCAAAGCCAATTGAGTTTGGCTGAAGGCACTTCATTATTGGACGGTTACTCCAGCAGAGCCACAGTACTGCAGCCAGCTCCAGAATGCGCAGCCTTTGCATTCAGATTGCCTTGGTCCCGCTCATTCTGGCGGTCTGTTGGAGGAGTTTGCTACTGCTCTTGGACATCAAGAATTACACTAAAGTCAAATATATATGACTAAATCAAACTTTGTAAGTTATAAAACAAGACTGTACCTTGAAATAGACACCCTCCTGTGATTTTTCAACTTCAGTTCTTGCCATTAATAGTCTTTTCACTTAACTGATGTAGCTAATTTATAACTAGATGCCCACCAGCAGCCATGTAAACTGTGCACTGATCCAGCGCAGTAAAAAGGGAGGACTCAGTAGCACAACATCCATTTGTGTTTCTTCCACCTTTCCCTCCTTTGCTTTGTACTAAAACCTCTCTGTAGCAGCTGCGGTATTAATAATGACCTTGATAATACACAGTACTTGCTCTAAAAACTTAGAGGAAAAATATTAGGGTTTTTATTTGAGTTTATGAAAGCGTACTTGAAAAATTGGTCTGCTCTAAGTTATTTCTGCCCCTTTCCCCATGCATATGCAGTAAGGTAGCAGCAAAGAGCAGGAGCCAGACGAGATGTTCTAAATGACTGCCGTTTGGGAGACAGTGCCAGACAGCTGCAAGTGAAGGGGAGGTTCTTCCAGAGTTTGCTAATGGAGAAAAGAGCCTCTTATGAAAAGGAAGAAAGAAGGGAATGGAAAGGTCATGCTTATGTTTGCAGTCTTTGCATTAATCAAAACTTGTGGAAATACAGCAAGAGTAGAATGCATCCCATTTATCAGCTTCACTAAAAAAAAAATGCTGATAAAAGTAATTTACACTGCCTGCACACATACCATAACCCTCATACGAGGAACCCAGGAACACCGAGACACTCATTTTTTCATATGTCTAACAGAAACTTGGGCACATTTTGTTCAATAAGGCAAACCTCATGAACCTTCATCAAGTCTAGTGTAAATAACATTCTAACTTCCTTCTACTGGGTGAATTTGATCTGAGCTTGTCAGGTCCTGTAATATTTAAGTGGGATAATGACTTTAATTTCAGATGAACAGAAATTAAAACTCAAATCCTGCTTGGGAATAGAAAATGTCAAAATTTACAGACACTTCTTTAGTACCA